GAAACCAAGAAAGAAATTCAGAAGCCTCCTGCTTAGGATGAGCATTGACTTATCAGGAAATGGCGAGATGAAGGTCCCAAGGGAAGGTTACAGGTTACCCCTCGGGGCATAGGGACACAAATGGCCCATTTACAGTCTTATGCAGATAAGTCAATGCATGCATCTAGAGGACCACAAAGCATAAAAAGACTATGAGGTCATTGGCAAAAAAGTTAATGGCTGCTGACGGCTGACCAATTAGCACAAGTTGGAAGTTGCCCTTTCAGTATGTGATATGAACATCCAACCTCATGAAGCTCTTCATGACCACAAAAAACAAAAAAAATAAAAAGATTCTGTAAAAAATACCTCAAAATCTATTAATACTTGATCACAGTTAGAGAAGTGACTGCAGATTAGGCCCATAGCCATTCAATTATATTCTAACTAACATACTTCAGCCCGAGCTAAGCAACTATTCACTTCTAGCCATGTCTAAAATCATCCGAGACATCCATATTTCCCTCATACCTATTGCTAAAATTTCCAAAAACCCAAGTTAATGGAAAATTGAAAAAGGAGAAATGCATTGTGATCAGGAAAGTTATCATGTGCTCATGTGGTTCATTCTCTATATTTCAGAATTATCTATGCACAGAAAAACATAGCATATGTAAAACTCACCATTTCTTCTAGCTTTTTATTTAGAGCTTGCATCTCCTAAACCATACATCGCACCTCTGATAAAATAACCTGCTCTGGAATCTTTCTCAGGGCAACCTTCCTCTCTTGTGCCTGCAAGAGAGAGGAAGAAAGAAAAGAACTGCACTGAGAATGGCAACACTAGAATGAAGAAANCTCCTCTGGCTCTTTTAGATTCTAGAACTAGAACTCTCTAAATTTTGTTGATGAATTACGTTAGAAACTTGACTACTTAGATTGATAATTTTTTGTTTTGGTCCTTGTGGTGCAATGTAATGTTATTATGACCTTTTTTCATAGATATATATGTATTTTTTAATATCTCTAACAAAAGAAGACTTGCTAAGAAAAGACAATTTACAATGAAGAAACCAAGAAAGAAATTCAGAAGCCTCCTGCTTAGGATGAGCATTGACTTATCAGGAAATGGCGAGATGAAGGTCCCAAGGGAAGGTTACAGGTTACCCCTCGGGGCATAGGGACACAAATGGCCCATTTACAGTCTTATGCAGATAAGTCAATGCATGCATCTAGAGGACCACAAAGCATAAAAAGACTATGAGGTCATTGGCAAAAAAGTTAATGGCTGCTGACGGCTGACCAATTAGCACAAGTTGGAAGTTGCCCTTTCAGTATGTGATATGAACATCCAACCTCATGAAGCTCTTCATGACCACAAAAAACAAAAAAAATAAAAAGATTCTGTAAAAAATACCTCAAAATCTATTAATACTTGATCACAGTTAGAGAAGTGACTGCAGATTAGGCCCATAGCCATTCAATTATATTCTAACTAACATACTTCAGCCCGAGCTAAGCAACTATTCACTTCTAGCCATGTCTAAAATCATCCGAGACATCCATATTTCCCTCATACCTATTGCTAAAATTTCCAAAAACCCAAGTTAATGGAAAATTGAAAAAGGAGAAATGCATTGTGATCAGGAAAGTTATCATGTGCTCATGTGGTTCATTCTCTATATTTCAGAATTATCTATGCACAGAAAAACATAGCATATGTAAAACTCACCATTTCTTCTAGCTTTTTATTTAGAGCTTGCATCTCCTAAACCATACATCGCACCTCTGATAAAATAACCTGCTCTGGAATCTTTCTCAGGGCAACCTTCCTCTCTTGTGCCTGCAAGAGAGAGGAAGAAAGAAAAGAACTGCACTGAGAATGGCAACACTAGAATGAAGAAATAGTCAGTCACACACATAGAAGAAAAAAGAAAGTACCCCCCACCCCCCCCCCCCCAAAAAAAAAAGGAAGGAAAATTGAGTAGAATGATAATAGGGAAGATTGAAATAAGACGTAGATGGTGTGAACTATGAAATAACATTTTGACGAGAACCAACTTATCAATAATAACAGAGTCAAATGCCACTAATAGAATTTGTCACCTCTTAAAGCTGCTTCAAAATGCACCACTTTTTGTGAAACATTGTTTAAGCCATCTATCAAATCAGTTGAATAAAGTAACTTGAGAAAGAATCCATACTCCAGAGGTTTGAAGAGGCTTGTACATTTATATTGCCACTAAAACTCATTCCAGGAAGCACATTGATACCATGAATCTCCTATTCATATAAATTGCATTCAAGAAGCAATTAAAGCAACAAGTATGATTGGTGATAAGACCGAAGTGCAATATCAAAGATGCCATCAGCGAGACAGTGATCTTTAGCCTATCAATACAATAAGGCTTGAAATGAACTATTGGATGTAGGACAATTCCAATCAACAAGTAGCATATCTGATAAGTGCCTCGGCACCAATTTTTAACACATGCCCACCTCAATTTCATTACTATATATGCCAAGGAGTTATTGCCTAGGCCCTAGACCAACAATAAAAGCTCATACTGACAATGGTGATGATTGTCAGGGTTGACTGATTTGAATTTGAGGACAACCATTTTTGTGCAAATGATATCATATACTTTTTTTGGGTCATTAAATCATATCGAATGTAGGCTTATACACAATTCATCCCCCAGATATCCACTATTGAGACCAAACAAGGTAAGGTCAAGGTTCATGGATGCCTTTTGTATAGTTGGAAGTCCGAACTTAGCGATGTTGCTGGCTAAAAAATGGCAGTTTGCACAAGAAAATGGGTGTATACCCACCACTCCCTGAACCTGCTGGGACAATTCAAAGTGGGGAAGGCATGATAGTGGCAGGTTTTGGAAAGATATAAATAACCCAATTCATGCCCAAACTGGGCCAAAGGTTGGGGTATATCTCATCATGCCTCCCATGGGCTCACAATTCTAAATGTGCCCCGCCTGGTTCACTGGCTTGTTGGCCTACCAAACACTTGCTCTTTGCTCCTACCGCCCACTTGCTTGTTATCCCTGCTTTTCTTTCTGCGGGGCCCCTCCCATTGCTCTAGCCATAAGCTATGGCAGCTCCAGCTCACAACCACAGGGGCCTACCCCACGTTTATGCTACTAAAATATTCATGCTATCTAAACGAATATACGAATTTCCATTCCATTAAAAACATCCATGTAGGTATGCACTCATTGAAGATCTAGATTGCACCGAATTCCATAATTAGACAGATAGTGAAGCTTAGAAAATGTGCAGGGCAAGATTCAAGGTACTGTCTGGGGTTTCCTGGCCTTAAGACAGAAGTATGGTTCACTAGCATTGCACATAAAAGGCAAACTCAGACTAAAGGTGCTATACAAAAGCACACAACTCTTCCTCAATGGAATGCCAATACTCCTCTTTCATCTTCTTCCTACCATCCATGAGGACGTTGAGGATGAGTCATGTGTATGTGATACACAGGGTTTCAGGGGCAACGGTGGGATTAGAAGACTCTATAGTGGTCCGGATGTGAAGGAATACTGATACCCAATGCATGGTATAGAATTTGGGGCTAGAGTGAGTCCTACCGGTCACAGCAACTAACTTGAGATACAGTTAATTATGGGTACAAGTAAAAGCAGTTGTTGAACAATATGGTAATGGTAGGCAAAAAGGTATATGGGTTGCCACATTAATATCGATGTTCATTCCAAAAAAATTGTACCATATAGAAGCCTGGTCACTACAATCCACCAAATAGTACTGACCAAAATGAAAAACTGAAGTTTTACCTTATTGCTTCACTAAAATCAACCCAGACAACTTATAACTACATTTGCATCAGTTCATCAACCATCACCCACTAGTTAAATTCCATTTCCAGGAAAAATAGGATAACAACATAAACAATAGTTAATTCCTTCCTCCTCATACTCAACAGCAAATTCTACTCAAATGCCAACATTTTTCATTGTATTCACACACAATCCACCTCATAATTACAACACATCTCCAACAGCTCAATATTCATGTAAGAAGAGGAATTAAATGGAAGTGTAGGAATTGAGATCCAAAAGCGAAGTGAGTGAGGAAGGGAGACCTACACGTTGAAGACGCGTTTGGAGTTGCAAGCGATAGCTCTTCGTACCCAGAAAGAACCCTAACGTAGAACATAGCTTTCCTCCCAAATTCTCTTAGTTTATCCATGGTAACGATTCCGAACAATCAATTTTCCATCAGTTTCTTTCCTCACATTTGAAGACGACGCCAGACAATCCCCCGCACGGTACCCGTGGAGTTGGACTTGGGACTAACTCGGACTTCCTGGTTCGGGTTTGATTTGTGGGTATGGATTAGACTTGGGATGAGCTCGCCGTACCTATAGTTTGTGGATATGGGTTAGACTTGGGATGAATTCGAACATCCTAGTTCGACCCTTCCTGTACCAATAGTTTGTAGATATTCAAAATTTATTTTGCTTATGGTCGTGATAAAGATAAAAAAAAGAAGACGACTTCAGACAGCAATGAAGGATCACTTACTTAAATGTCTTCATTCAACCTGGGCCTTTCTCCTGATCAAAAAAAATAAATAAATAAAATAAAAAAACCTGGGGCTTGTGTTTGGACTCTTTATTTGTTACTGTTAATTGCACCCAGAGGGTCCAAATCAAGCACCCAAATATTCCGGGTCACCTATAATTGTTATAGTGGATAATGCTTTTGAGATTGTACGGAAAAAAGCTAGTGAGAGAGTAGAAAGGGAACTATATTGACGAGTATTCACGGGTAATTGGAACAAACATTGTTTTGTAGCAAACTTATAGCATTAAAAAATAAGAAATTGCAGCTAGCTCCCCAACGCCTTTTCATTCTTAATTAGTAAATTGATTCTTCAGGTAGAAGAGAAATTAGGGAATGCTACTCTAATTATAGAAAAGCAAGATCAACAGATAAAAAGACATCCTGTTTCACAAAGAATATCCAGGAAAGAAGACCCGACCCAAAGGTGGAGCGCTTGAAGTTATTCCATGAACCATGGAGTGGTAACTTTCATACAAAGGCAATCTATTATTTATGTAATGTACAAGCAAATACCCCATAAGGAAATGACCATGGCCATCCTGCTTATACACAACTCAAACACAGTCATTTGAATTTTGAACTACTACTAACATATTGCAATTGTGAAGAATAGTAAAGATCAGTAAATTTGAAGGTTTTTCATGCCTTCCAGAAGGAAATCCATTTATGTACCATCACCCTCCCACACACAAACACACGCGAACAAATTCTCACTTACATTATCTATAAAATTCCATTTCGGTTCTGTAAAAGGGGGGAAAAAACAACGCAACAGTTTTAAGACAACTAAAAAGGGATAATCTATCCATTCAAGGGTCAGACAAGTTCCGATATGCTGAGCCAAATTCAGTTTCTCCTTTTCTTCTTCTTCTCTTCCTTGTCGGATGAATTCTTCAGCTGCACGGCAAAAAAGTTTTTTAAGTATATTCACTCATTCATTCATCCGTCCAGACAGAGTGTAATGCAAAAGACTTGAAACATCAAAAGTTGGCGGGAGCATAACTCACCATGATGACAAGGATTCGGACAAACACAGCAACAAAGTCGGTGAAAAGAGTCAGAGCATGCTTCACATAATCCAGATCCCCGAAGTGTGCTTTTTCAATTATATCCTGGGTGTCCACTACAATGTATCCCACAAAGACCAAAAGCCCAAAGTACAACTGCCACAAAACAGGAGAAATTACAACCATTACTTGAAAGTTTTCTAACAGTCAAAAGCATCCAATAAGGCTAAAAAAGATAACTCGTGTGGTACCTCAAACTTGAAAAGGGCCATAGAGCCCCCGAAGATAGAGGACGCAAAGTGCAACCAAAAAAGGATGGAGAGACCAGAGGAAAGAAGAGCCCCAAGGTACAGGTACTCCCTCCGCCTTGCCAACATGGCTGCTGCAGAGAAACAACCAAAGGCCACAGCACATCCCACAAATGCACCGACCAGAATGCTGCAATGACAAAGAGGAAGGGGGACTTTATGCATCAGGGGAAGTTATGTAGACCTTATAATGATATAATCAATAAGCCATAAACAAATAACCAGACTCATACTGAAGGAACCATGAAGTTATCATTCCACTAACTAGCCATCTTTTAAAAACATTTGAAACTAAAACACAACAATAAAATGTGTAGTGCCCACATGCTGGAAAAACAGGGTATTACGACTCCTAACAAACTGCAAGTGACTAATAGGTACACTTATATACGGCATAGTGCACACAGTATGCATCTTCAAAGCTGCATCACGTTCTTAAATGTCACAATCGTCAGAATGAAAATCTGGCCTTGACCATTTCGTTAATTAAATCACATTACACATTCTGATGGACAAAGAAAGTGACATCTAGATGTTAATTGCTTCATAATTCCTTTTATACATTAGTCAAGAAAATAATTATATGCTAACGACCGAAAAAGGATAGGTATAGTTTGTAGTTTCAACAAAATATATGATTCTTAATAGAGCAAAATGACCGAACATGATTCATGTGATCGACTCCAGATAGGTTGGGACACAATTCTATTGATATGAGTTGAGCAATGAAAAAAGAAAAGAAAAATTTTGAATCTGTAAGAGTTGGCTTAGTGAATAAAAATTTTGGCTGTAAACTTCTGACCAGGTAGGAAATTTTTTCAGGAACTAAAAAAATGGTCAAAAAATAGCAAGATAACCTGATTTGTTTATTTTTTTTGACTTGATTACAAACAAAAAATTTCATTCTTTTCCTCCTGCCACTCAGAGCAAAAATAAATATAAAATCCAAATTCTTGAAACAATATAAAGGTCCAAAACTAATATATTTCAACAATTTTAAAAAATAGAACTTTGACTAGAATGAAGATTGGGAAAAAGGCAGCTTGCCCACGAATCAGCAAACTAAATATTAAAGCCATGTACAAAACCAACAACCAAACAAAAAGAGTCTCAGAGTATAAACAAATTTAAAGGACAATCATTGTCGGAAGTTGCAAAGCTAAAAGCAATGGCAACAATGCCAATCAACAACAAAAATCAATAGAAACAGGACAAGCAACCCGATTATCTTCATAAACCATGGATTGATTCATTTCCCTATCAAAACATGGGAAACACAAAAAATAATTTTTTTAAAACAAACTGCTAAAGTAAGAAATACCTTGGATCAAAGTTAATTGCCAGTTCAATCAGAGGACCAATGGAGACCCCTTCAAAAAGGGCAGCTGCCATCAGAAGCCCAATCCTCTTTTGCTGTTGAAAGAAAACAATTCAAAGTCAAGACTTTAGAACTTGCAACAGACAGACAAGACAACAAAAACCAACAAAAGACGAAGCAGATGGATTACCTCTTCATATGGAGGAGTAGAGAGTAGCCAAAAGATGCTTCCCATGGATGCAAGCGTTGTAAGAAGGCCACCAATGTTCCACAGAATGTGTAGATAAACCCCAGCAGCTGACGCAATCAGAGCGCAACATAGGGAGAGATAAACCTGCAAAATAGAGAGAAACAAAATAAACAAATGAAAAATTATTCCATATAAACAAATGAAAATTATTCCACAAACAGATTACCAGTACATAGACAGAACAATACAGACCTTATTTGAATTCGAACTTGAAAACTCAAATGAAAAAAAATTCACACAGAAAATGGAGAATAGAATTGGACTAAAAGTTACCACAAATTTTTATTTCCATAACGTTGCCACTTTAAAGAATCAAGGCGCAAGGAAAGTACTATTGAATAATTGGAATTTCGAGAATCCTTGAAATATTTAAAGTAAACCCAGAAGCCCGTTTAATCCCTGGAATCATAAGAATTTAGGGATTTTTATTTTGGGGGGAATTTGTTATTTTTTCTCTGGAGAGAGAGAGAGACTAGGGCTAACGGATCAAGAACTTAGGTTTCGTAAACTCAAATTTCGTAATTTTACAAATTACATACGAGAGAGGGGGGGTTGGGATTTCAACAGTCCGTTCAATCCTCAAGATCACAATATAATTGAGACCATTTTTTGGATTCTTTTACTTCAAAAAGATCGAAAAATCAAAATTCAAACAAAGCATCGACCGAAACCCCAACTCTCAATTTAATCATCAACATGACTCCATTTTTTAATCAATTTCACCCTAATTGCAAACAGCAAGATAAAATAAGACACCATAACTTTATTTCTCGGATTTCCTTCACCAACTCATAAACCAAACGTGTACCAGAGTCGAGATTCGAGAGAAAGAAGGAACCTGTTTGAGATGATTTTGCACGACAGGAGAGATCTGGCGGAAGTTCTTAAGAGAATCGTAAGTCCAACGGTTACGAGAAGACGATGCCGATTCGAAAAACGCCGTGAATCCTTCCATTGTTGTTTTCTACCCAAAGCTCTGCTTTAGAAACTGATCTATCGATGAATTATCGGACGAAGACTCTCGACGATCTCAATTATGCTTCTATGAAAAAGTTGTTGGAGGGGTTAAAGAACTTGTGCGTGTATATATATATATATAAATAGAGAGAGAGAGAGAGAGAGAGAGAGAGAGAGAGANCATGTACAAAACCAACAACCAAACAAAAAGAGTCTCAGAGTATAAACAAATTTAAAGGACAATCATTGTCGGAAGTTGCAAAGCTAAAAGCAATGGCAACAATGCCAATCAACAACAAAAATCAATAGAAACAGGACAAGCAACCCGATTATCTTCATAAACCATGGATTGATTCATTTCCCTATCAAAACATGGGAAACACAAAAAATAATTTTTTTAAAACAAACTGCTAAAGTAAGAAATACCTTGGATCAAAGTTAATTGCCAGTTCAATCAGAGGACCAATGGAGACCCCTTCAAAAAGGGCAGCTGCCATCAGAAGCCCAATCCTCTTTTGCTGTTGAAAGAAAACAATTCAAAGTCAAGACTTTAGAACTTGCAACAGACAGACAAGACAACAAAAACCAACAAAAGACGAAGCAGATGGATTACCTCTTCATATGGAGGAGTAGAGAGTAGCCAAAAGATGCTTCCCATGGATGCAAGCGTTGTAAGAAGGCCACCAATGTTCCACAGAATGTGTAGATAAACCCCAGCAGCTGACGCAATCAGAGCGCAACATAGGGAGAGATAAACCTGCAAAATAGAGAGAAACAAAATAAACAAATGAAAAATTATTCCATATAAACAAATGAAAATTATTCCACAAACAGATTACCAGTACATAGACAGAACAATACAGACCTTATTTGAATTCGAACTTGAAAACTCAAATGAAAAAAAATTCACACAGAAAATGGAGAATAGAATTGGACTAAAAGTTACCACAAATTTTTATTTCCATAACGTTGCCACTTTAAAGAATCAAGGCGCAAGGAAAGTACTATTGAATAATTGGAATTTCGAGAATCCTTGAAATATTTAAAGTAAACCCAGAAGCCCGTTTAATCCCTGGAATCATAAGAATTTAGGGATTTTTATTTTGGGGGGAATTTGTTATTTTTTCTCTGGAGAGAGAGAGAGACTAGGGCTAACGGATCAAGAACTTAGGTTTCGTAAACTCAAATTTCGTAATTTTACAAATTACATACGAGAGAGGGGGGGTTGGGATTTCAACAGTCCGTTCAATCCTCAAGATCACAATATAATTGAGACCATTTTTTGGATTCTTTTACTTCAAAAAGATCGAAAAATCAAAATTCAAACAAAGCATCGACCGAAACCCCAACTCTCAATTTAATCATCAACATGACTCCATTTTTTAATCAATTTCACCCTAATTGCAAACAGCAAGATAAAATAAGACACCATAACTTTATTTCTCGGATTTCCTTCACCAACTCATAAACCAAACGTGTACCAGAGTCGAGATTCGAGAGAAAGAAGGAACCTGTTTGAGATGATTTTGCACGACAGGAGAGATCTGGCGGAAGTTCTTAAGAGAATCGTAAGTCCAACGGTTACGAGAAGACGATGCCGATTCGAAAAACGCCGTGAATCCTTCCATTGTTGTTTTCTACCCAAAGCTCTGCTTTAGAAACTGATCTATCGATGAATTATCGGACGAAGACTCTCGACGATCTCAATTATGCTTCTATGAAAAAGTTGTTGGAGGGGTTAAAGAACTTGTGCGTGTATATATATATATATAAATAGAGAGAGAGAGAGAGAGAGAGAGAGAGAGAGAGAGACGTCGGTGATTTCCGTGAAACTACCAGGCGGTAGAGGGCATCTTGATTTGTTTCTTTCGTCTGTTTCTGATTTTGCCCCTCGTTTGGCTTTTTATTTACAAATCTATCCTTCTCTTCATTAGTAGTGAGTCTCATTCAATAATATTGGGTTATAATATTAGGGTTAACTCAATTCAATAATTGTGATTGATTAAATTAATAAATTAAATCTAAATATTACATTTTTCAAAATTATTAAACCTAAAAAGTATTTGTTAAAAACATTTTAGTGATATTTATATTAGGTTTGTCAATTGTATTGAATGAGGCGAATTCGTGTAAAAAAATATTCTATTTATATTTAATTTATTTTTTAATTTGTATCTAATAAATAGTGTTATATCGAATTCGTATCGTATATAAATCGTGAATAATTAGCATATAAACAACCCTTGTCTTTTATTTTTTACATTAACTTTTATCTATAATCAATTCGTTTATTAATCGTATTATATTTGCGTCTTGCATGATACTCCAATCCAATTGAATAGATAAAAGGTAAATACCTGCTAACAAAAACCAAAATAAGAATTGGAGACAATCGGGTTGTAACTAATACCGAACCCAACCAAGGTGCCCAAAATTCAAATGTGACCACAGGGGCATTTGTGGAACATGAAAGACTATTCTGGAAAATTCGAGGAAATGATAATCTTCAGACTTCAAGCCAGAGGGGTCCAATCAAAAAAAAATTAAAGATTCACACCGTAGCTTTCGTGCTTAGCAAAACATCTTGTAGATTCTAAGCAGTTCACACACGTAAGCTGTGGACTTTAGAACACGGGATACAGCCACGTCGCACAACCTATAGAAACATGCCATGTCATCAATTCATTCGCAATACAATAAATACATAAAAAATATAAGAAAAACATCACTTTTGATAAGTTATTTTTTTAATTTGAATTTGAATTTGTCGAGAATTTTCTGTTATCAATAATCTATATTTAAATTTATATTTGATTGTCTATTTTAATCCTAATTATTATAATAAAATATTTTTTATCTTTATTTAACTTTCAACTTATTTTATACTCTTTTATAAGGACTTGTGAAAAAGTAAATGAAAATCTTTTGATTTTCTATTTTAACCCTAATTATTATAATAAATTCAATTATTATAATAAATTTAACTATACCCATCAATATATATACTTTCAGAACAATGCTATACTTACCAAATCATTTATCTCAAATCAGTAAATTTAAGCAACATAGTTTTATCCATACTTTCATCTAATTTTTGTTTTTTTGCTTCTATTTAACTTTCAACTTATTTTAAACTCTTTTATACGAACTTCTAATTTTTTTGAACTAATTTATTAGTAGTACAGTTACATACAATTTTTTGTATCTATATGAATAAGTAAAATCGTGTATATATGTGTGTGTGTATTAAATTATTATACAAATGTAGTTATTAGACATGATTAAATATATATTATATTTAGTTTTTTAATATACAATAATATAATAATATTATAAGCGATCTAATCAATCTATTTTAAAAAATAAAAATTAATAATTTTATAATATAATTAGTGTGCAAATGAGTAAAGGAGTTAGAGAGATATTTAAATAAATGACAGATTAAGTATTCAAAAGTTTTATATAATAAATTAATAATTAAATTTAATAACAATTAAAATATAAATTACTTATTTAACTTCTAATTTATTATTTAATTTAATTACCAATATAATTTATATTTTTTTATAAAAAAATTATTTAAATTTATTTATGTACAATGTACGTCGTACATTGCTAATAGTATAAAAACATTACTAGTATTTAATATTAGACTTAAAACTAATTATTCATAAAAAAAAATTACTTTGAATGACTGAGCTCTCAAAACCTACTGAATTTTTTCCTTACTACATGATTTATTTAAGATAAAAAAAATATTACATGATTTATTAGACCTTGAATGGATTCTTACTATTATCCAAGAAACTTAAATATAAAAATTGAGTTAGTAGTTTCGCACCCAAATAATAAGAAAATAATTCTTAAATAAATAATTATAAAATACAATCAATATAAGTATTAAAAAAATTAAATAAGACCTCATTTAAATATTAGTCCCAATTTTCCTCGGCCAGTGTCAAAAAAACTAAGTAACTTTGACTCGACTGCAGAAGTTGACTTAAACACTCTAACCCATCCAATCGAAAAAAAATAAATCAAGAAGCAATGTGACTTAAACGCCAAAACATGTTGGCAGAATGGCATATAACTCGAACCAACTGATCAAGGAACAATCAAACAATGATCAATTTACAAAATGAAAAATAACAGTAAACAATCTATTCACTCTCAACAAACCTTACAATTTTACAATGAAATCATCAAAAATCTTTCTCCCGAGGATGTGACGGTGATTGAAGTCAATCTGTAGAAGGTGAGGACAGCAACAGGTTCAAAAGAAACCCAACCATGAGTCCAATGAGTCCTACAAAAAGCGCAAATTTGAAGGAGAAGCCTGGATCCCTTTTACGGTTCCTTCGTATCTTCAGCATTTGCTGCAACAACAACAACAAAAGAAATATCAAGTACACGTCGATGAGGGAAACAAAAAAAAAGAAAAGAATGAAAGGAAAGGAAGAGAGATCCAACTGTATTGAAGATGTACTGGAGTATATCATTGTATTAACTTGCATTCCACTTATAATGACTCACGTATTGATCACAAGCGTTTATCAAACTCACGCCATGAGGTATTATAAGTTGACTCAAATTCACAACAGGAGGTGAAAATGGCCTTGGGAGATTCTAATACAACAGCAGTTTGTCAACCTAGAACAAGTCCTTTACATTTCAACTCAATCTGCATACACCATTCATTCCTTGGCACAGAAGGTATCTCAGAGCTCAATTGGTGGAAATCTAAAACACCAACCCTCACAACTCCAACCCAGAGGGTGTTTACCATGAGTTGAAGAAGCCTATGATTGATACCCCAAAGTTAAACCTGGTTTTCATATTTTTAACGCAAAAAACTTTCATAAGGTCAAATCAGAATTAGCCGACTCAATACAGGGACGACTAGATTAGAATTCTGATAGTCCCCCAATTTATGATGGATTACTGTTGTCATTTGTGTTTGCATCTAGTTCTGCATGTTAAGAAGATACCAGCATCTTGGATGGAATCTTGGTGTTCTACCGTAGAACCAAATAGCTCTATTATTCATAAGTGTGCACATTAAATTGTATATAAAAAATGCAATAAAACCAAATATATTGGGTTGAAAAGTATGAAGCACACTAACCAGCTCCTGTTGCAACTGCTGTGTTTGCCGTACAGCTGCATCTCTTTCATCTTTGAGGCGATACACCCTCTGATTCTGCATTGAAGGAAATAAAACTTGCTCATAAAACTAAAGAGAAAAATTGGCACATAGAAACATCATAAACTAGCCCAACGAGCCAATGAACAATTAAGATTCCTGCTCCAAATATGTTTTTCTAAACTGAAAAGTCAGGCCCACAATGCTGAACCCTCTACTATCTATATAATAAAACAGGAGTATGTTTGAATTTTATCCCAGTCATATTTTCTCCCTCAAAACTATCACCAATCACTTACCTCATCCATCATCCCTTTGTCAGACTCAAACGTCTTATCGCATCACTTATTTCTGTCATATGTTTAATCATTTATATATTTCTTCTCTAAAAACATCACATCACTCATTTCTATCATATATTTAATTATTTAATATTTGATTAATTTATAGTTAATATTTTTAAAAATAATTAATATAATGGAATCGATTTTTTGAACGTTCGAATTTTATATTTTATCGTGCCTTCATGCACGGGTTATGACTAGTATACAAATATGGAACCACATCCAGCATTTGATCACTTGACAGCTTGCATTCGAAGTACCCAGAAATATTGGTATATCCCATGAAAAATTAGCATATTTGACAGCAAATATTTTCAAAAAATATATATTGAAGCAAGAACTAAATTTCAGCATATTCCACCTTTCCTAGCACAACTACTATTTTTCAATCCACAAGGTGGAGGCATATAGAAGAGGCCACCAAAAATAGAAAGAAAAAAAATGTTGAATTTACATGTTTGACATCTGAAAAAGGCACATAGAAGATATATTTAACATCGTCATTAGAAAGGATTATATCACAGAAGCCAAAAAAATGCTGGTAACACATGGATATTAACACAGCCTTACTGGCAATGACTAAAGTCTGTTGACATGCCATGGAACACATTTGAAAAAAAATGTCATTCTGTTCCATTCACTAGCTTACTCAAAAACACGAAAACAAATCAGAAGCCAATATATAGGTGCCAACTATAACAATAGACACATGTATGTCACAAGCTTCAATCGTTTAAGAATGCTAAATACAGATAAAGTAAATGAAACAAACCATCAAATAATGCCTGAAAGAAACAGCAATGAATAGACTACTCACATCATTAAAATCTGTGGAGAGGTGCATCTGCAAGTAAAGAAGAAATAAAAGATTATGACCAACAAAGTCTAGCACAAATTTTTCAGCCTTATCAAGAAATCAAATGCCAAATGGGTTGATTGTTTGAAAACATGTTTTGCTTTGAATATGCTCCACATTCCACAAAATAAGTCAGAGAGGTACAACAATGCTGCTGGAGGGGAAACTGTATTAGTGCATTAGATTGGAGTATGAACAACTTTTTGGCAGGAAAATGAGTGCACAAAGGCTTTGCACAACTTATCAGGCACAAGCAAATGACAGGAGAAGGGGAAAATGCAAAACAAACAGTGAATGAACTACATGAGACGGGGAAACTACTATAGCACTCACAGCACTGGTATCAAAGCTTTGTTGAAAGCCATCTACTGAATTTCCAGGAGCTGCGTGAGGAGAGACGTACACAACTCTAAGCTTGCACTCCTCTATTACTCTTCCACTGTCCTTAGTAAACTGTACGCAGCAATGTCAAATAGTTGTGCAGGAAAAAAGACAACAATATGTTATTCAAAGGAAAATAAATCAAGCGAACTGAAAAAACTGTACTCTAAATAATCATTATTACAGTATCTTGTGGAAGCTCATCAACATCGGAATGTGGAGGCACTATGGTGCTTTGCAGTAGAAATTTATCTTTGCATTGCATATCCGAAGGGTACTCTCGCTGAGCTTGAAGGGTGACTACATACAGAGAATTAAGTTGCAATTAACCATAAAAAAGTGAACTCATGGACTGGTAAAACGTGCAAGCTGATATAGCCAGTATGCAAAATTAGAGTTGTGTAGACATCAATTATCATAGAACAAAAACTAGAACCATCTAGCCAGTATGCAAACTGATACTATTGTGTGGTTGACAGGGACGGAACTGAACAGAGGCATGCCCCCCCC